AAAACAATTCTCAACACAAATATTTAAACTTTGTTTTTTTCCTTGTTGCATAAAATCATATTAGCTGACACACAGCAGAGGTTGATGCAAACCTGTACTACCTGAGTGCATACCTTCTTATCATCCACCATTTTCCTATTTGTAATTCGTAATTTAATGAGAGATTAAAGCCTGAAAACAGCAACAAAACGGCTTCACACTGTGTGCAAATTTGCATTTAGATTTATGTCATGTATACATCTAAGGAAAATGTGCAAATGTGACGTCAATAATCTTGAACATGTCAAAGTTGGTGAAATAGTATACCCCATATGGTGGAATGTTTTTAAAACATTAGAACAAGTGCTGATGCATATTTTTACCGAACACCAAACAGTGTTTTCAGTGACAGATGTATAATAATAAATAATACTCACTGATCCACTCAATGGAGGATTACCCATGTCAGTTGCAATGAGTGTTATGTTATAAATATCAATCCTCTCTCTGTCTAATTCCACACCTCTTCTGACTCTTAAATCGCCATCACTTGGAGATATACTGAATTCATCTGTAAATCAAAGACATGACAAATCAGAATGTTTTCTTGTATAATATTAAGGTAGAGATGCAGTTTACCCACAAAACTATATATTTTCCGAAAGCTTATAGTATGAATTTCAAAGTTTTATTAGTATTTCATTTTTATGGACACTGTAGTTTGAAATATGCACAAAAATGTGCTTTTTTGGTCAAAAGTGATTTAAAAAAAATTAGCTTCTAAACCATGCTTCTGTTTCCTGTCAAAGTTGGTTTATGGGTACATCTGTTTACTATGAAGAAAGCGCCGTCTTGAAAACTGTCTACCTGTTGTCAATTTTGTAGGGCAGCAGCTCAAATTTCACTACTTCAAGTTTATGCATAAATTAACACCCAGGCTAGTTGTCTGTACGATTGCTGTAACACTATTCAACTAAAAACAACGCCCCAACGGCGTTTTGAAGATAAACACATTGTCAATCATTTGTGAAAATTTCAAAACAAAAAGTAAAAGAGTCTAGGAGCTATTTTTTTTAAAGTTCTGGAATGTGCACTAAAAAGAAGCTGAGATAATTGCTAATTTGCATAACAATTCACTCAGTAAGAAGTTTGCTAATGCTCATAATTAAAATGGCTGTTACAGTTTCAAATTTAAATGTAGTATCGTTTTGTAAAAAGTTAAATATAGTGCATAATATGGAGATCCCGTCATTTCTTTTCTTCACTACGTTTGTTTTTTATTATTTATGTACAGCCTTGCTAAATCTTGCTAAGCATTCAAAAGAGAAAATGTTTGCACCTGTTATCTATATTTTAAAATCGTTTTTTGAGTATGTTCCACTATTCACAATTCTACAAAATTTCAACAGTCTATAGCCAAGACTGTTTGGATAATAAAAAGCAAAAAAAAAAAAATTTCACTCCCAAGTGCCCACGAACCTGCATTTCTACCTTAAATTGCTTAGTTTCTTACTTAGAGTGCATAAAAGCGTAGATGGTGGCAAAATGAGAGGGTCACCCCAGGCTAATGGAATTCAGATTTTGAACAGATCCACTGATAGAAACATAATCAAAAGTGTTAGAACAGCAATTTGGATGAGTTGAGAGAGGTGGTTAATTAATTTAGGTAATCCAGTTGTCTTGTGGTAATGAACTGCCCTCACTCAGCAGCTCTGATCATGTCCCTGTGAAGCCAAAAGCAATTTCACATTCTGAATGCAGTCGCACATATTTCACACATCACTGCCAAAACTGCCTCTTTTTGTTTGTTAAACATTTTTCTTCTTGTTTTGTTTGAATCAATCGACTTCTTGTAAAATTAAGTGTTTAATTATTTTATAACTAACGATTCAGTAGTCCCTTAAATTTTGCACATATTTCAAATCATATTTAACAAGACATTTTAATATATTTGAAAAACAAGGTAATTATAATACTAATTACCATAAATATCACCATACAAAGAATACTGGATGTGACCATTGTTGCCCTCATCTAAATCCGTAGCTCGAAATGTTCCTATAAACGGACCAGATGTATCTTCAGCTATTTCATAGACACCCAGAAAGGAGGCGTCAAAATACGGCACAATGTCATTGATATCCAATACGGTCACAGTCACCTAAATAAGAAAACAAAAATTAGATTATTGTTTTTGTTTTTGATAGCTGGTTTAAAAGCATTAATAATGTGTTCAATCTTATTCCACATTTAAAAAAACAAGTCATTGAAAATGACACAGTCCCTGTTAAATTTTTGAAAGTTCTCTTTGTGGTCGTCATATTAAAGCGGAGGGGTTGTCGCGAGCGTGTCCTTGAAACTTGAGTTTTAAGTGGCGTATACAACAGATTGTTTATTTACATCAAAACACGTATTTCGTGTAGTAGTAATATGGCCAAAAATAAAAACAGCCGTTATTCGGCCATCTTTGATCTGATTATGAAACACACTGATATGTATGATGTATGTGCCAAATATGCATGAAAATGGTACATAAATTGTGGAAATATAGTAGTAAGGCCAAAAAGACAGATGGCTGTCAATCAGCCATCCTTGACCAGATTTTGAAACAAATTGTCATGGACATGCATACTAACATATATAAAGTACATGATGTATGTGCCAAATTTGAATGAAAACTGACAGAGAACGTCCAAGATACTGCATAAAAAAAGCAGCCTATCGGCTGAGATAGCTCTGCTGTTAGCAATGCACATTTCAATTAAAGAACTGAAGACATCATTAGAAAGTGAACAATATGTATAGTATCAAAGCAATTGGACTTACAGTTTTTAACAAGAAGTCGAAAATATCACTTTCTACCAAAAATGACAAAAATATTCACCAAAATTAGAGAATTGAAGACATCATCACAAAATGAACAAATCTGAGAGAGGTCCACATGTAGTACCTACATGTATATATGTAATATCAAAGCAATTGAACTATTGGTTTTTAGCAAGAAGTCGAATATATAACTTTTTACCAAAAATATTCACCAAAATTAGAGAATTAAAGATATCATTACAAAATGAACAAATCTGAGAGTCGCTAAACAACTGCATGTGCATATGTCCCACATAAAGTACTAGGCACATGCAAAGAATGAACAGAATCGGTCGAAGGGATTCTGAGATATGACTCCGAACGGACACACAGACGCACGGACGCAAGGACGGACAGAGACCGAATTATAATTCCCCGTTTTCGGACTTCGTCCGGACAGAGACTAAAACTAATTGTTTGCTATGCGATCGACAGCTGACAGCATTGAACTTTTCTGATATTTTTCGTTCGTAAATTGTAATACAGTTCATTTTCCCACAGTAACCATATGTAGGGACTATGTGACAGGT